CCCTTTCCCCTCATGCTGCCATGTCGCCATCCCAGTTTGCCATTTGGCCGCATCTTCAAAGTAGAACATCTGATCCTTTCACTCATGCCCAGAGGCCAGCAGTGAAGCTGGCTGAGCCTAACCACTTGACTCACTCAATCTTTATAGCCACTTGTCTTTTGAGAGGTTTTATTTTGCCCTAGCATCCAGTAAGATTGACCATGGGGGCCACATAGCAATACCTCTAAGCCATGGCTGAGAAGAGAGGCACCTAGCCCTAAGGGTGCTGCTCCCGTGTGCATTTGGAGGTACCTAGACAATGTCGATGATAACAGTGGACCTGGAAGAATGAGTTCTCAGCCCAGTATCCATCTGTTCTTGTAAGTCCGTTTAGAACGCTTTCTTTTCCCAACAGCCTCATCATACCCCAGGGACTCGACTCCTCTTGCCCAAGTCTTAAAGCGGCACCAATTCAGGATCTGCAGCCAGGCTTGGCAAGATGGGTTTTGGAGAGGAGCTTTGAACACCAGCCAGGGACTCGTAGTTCCATTGGATGTCTTTCTAGCTAATACAGCTACAGAGTGCTCTTATTTTGTTGTTGTTGTTGTTGCTCATTTCTCCAGAAACAGCCTCAAGTTACTGATGCCCTTTCTCTCGCCTTTCCCAAGAATATAGGAATTATGCATTTCGGCCCAGTGCTGAAATACTCATATGCCACGTACCTCTCCGCCATTAGCCTCATGATTCAGAATCCGTGTCCGGAGACCAGAGCTGAAGCAGTTCAGGGGCTCTGTCTCAGGCCCAGGGAGGTGTGGGAGGAAGAGCTAGATTTAGGCCTCTGTTTGTAGCGCAAGGGCTGCACTGTGGCCCCAGGTGCTCATCAGAGCTTACCAGCTTGCCCCAGGAAAGAGTTTGCCACAAGCCCATTCATGCACCCACATGACTTGGCCGCGATGTGCAGCCAGCATCAGAAACCAGCTTACTTGCCCTGATCCTTGCAGGCAAACGTAGAAGGGTGAGGAGTAATGATGAAACCTAGTTTCCGATCATGTCATTTTGAAACCAGTGATCCCAGCTAGTGGTGCCAGGACGCATCTGGGAGGAAGTTAGAATGATCTGCCTCAAGCCTGCCCGCTTCCCAACATAGCCATGACTCAGAGAGGGCAGCTCATGTTCCCACAGGTGCCTCAGCATGTGTCCTCAGCTTCTTGGGAAGACTGGCCCTCGAGTGAGTAAACTAGCGCTTGGCTCACTTTTGCCCTCCAACTGTCATGACTTCACTTGGCCACATATCCTTCCAGGTCCTCGTAGCCTAGGGCAAAGCCAGACTCCTCCAAGGAAGAGTTTGCAAAGCTGGGGACCTGGTGGCCCCTGGGAACTGCAGCTGAATCAGGCTACATCCCACCCCAACCCCCCCACTGACCGAGCATGTCAGGCCAGGACTCCTCAGCGTGGAAAGACTCCCCAGAGACAGGGCCGGTTTCCATTGCAATCGCCCTTGTTCACAGGCACATTCCAGTCTTCCCACCGAGGAGCCTGCTGTCACTGGGAGCTGCCTGCCACTGGGTTCTGGGGGGGCAGATGTTTGAAGGGAAGCCCTTCCAGCCTCTTCCTTCCCCCTTCTGGCCACAGTCCCCAATAGGCGGCTGGTGTCTGGACTTTGATCTGCTTTTGCACTTCATGTCCATGGAACTTGAGTGTGTCTCTTCTGTTGCAGCTGGCTTTTGTCAACCCTTAACGTTGAGATGGATCCGTGGGGGTACACGTCCGTGGTCGCTGGTTTGTTTCATTGTGTGACACTCGTTTCGATCCATGTCCGTAGCTGTTAAGACTCAGGCTGCTACGAACCTTTTTGTGTATGTCTCTGGGTGAATGTTTCAGATCATCAGAGTGGAATCGCTTTGTAGCATTGTGTTTTTTGGATTTTCATTTTCCCCCAGCGGCTCCTCAGCCTTCCGCTTGACCATGCTGTGGTCTCTATCTCTCTCTCTTCCCCCTTCCTTTCTCTCTCCTCAGGTTGCCCCATGTGGGGGTGCAGTTCTGTGTTCAGTTAACTATAAAGCCTGAAACATCTTCCATCCTTTATAAAAACCCACTTGGATCACACACACACAAAAGTGTGTCTTTGGTGAAGGTCTACACCAATCCCACACCCTTTACCCGATGACCCGAGCTGTAGTCTGTCTATTCCATTTCCGTGTCTATACTGCTGCCAAAGAGTTTTCCGAAGCTGTTATACCATCTTAGACTCCGATGTTAGACTTCTGCTTTTTAGAAATACTATACAAAGGGGCCTCGAAAAGTTGGTGAGAAAATGGGATTTAAACGTAAGGGCACTTTCCCACAAGCGTTTGGAAGCACCCCCACCCCCGTGTACCTGGATGTACTGTTTATCATACCATGTTGCTTTGTAGCTGAAAACAATACGCGTCCGTAATCCTTGGTCTTACAGGAGGATTCTCTGTGCACTAGATTAGTAGCAATAATAACCAGAGACTAAATGACAGCTTTTCCCTAAAGGATGGGTAGTTAGTTACGTCTCGCTCTGGCACTTACAGGGCACAGATTGGCCTTGTGGGCCCTGTTTTGCTGCAACAAACTGGGAGTCCCAGTGACTGGGCTGGCATTAAGGAAAGCATTGCACCCAGCAGTGTGGATGGGTAGGTCCCTGGGTGGGGCCCTTAGCAGGTTCCTTGGTTTCATGCTTTGGCCCAGGGAGGGCAGGTAAGAAAACTGGTCCTGGATGCTGCAGCAGGCTGACCTGGCTTCTGACCCTCCTTTTGCTTATCTTGGAAAGGGCCTAATGCTTGCCTGGCAAGGGGAGTTGTAAAGATAAAACTAACTGAGCGCTTGCTCAAGGGGTGGCTGAGCAGGAGCATGACAAACGAGGCAGCCAGAGATGTCTGGAGTGTCACCTCTGTGTATATTGTGAGAAGTGGATCAGTGGCCTTTGGAGACGCTGGACGTCTGTGATCTTGGTTCTCTGAGCTCATGAATGAGAGGGGCTTTTGCCCACATACTGACACTGACACCTGTGTGTGTGTGTGTGTGTGTGTGTGCGTGCGCACGCGCGCACGTGCGCGCGCACTTGTGCCACACTTGGAAGCTCCAGCTGAAACTTGTTTGGACAGCAAGTGTAGGCCCCCAGGCCACACTGCAGTCCAGAGAGGGGAAGCCAAGCCTCCCTTCTGGAGCTTCTGGGGGTTAGTTCTTGGTCTAGTTTGGGTGGAAGGGGTAGGATCCTAATCAGGCATGATTTCTTCTGGGGTGTTTTCCAGAATCCCTAATATTCTTTTTCTCCCTCCCCCACAGTGGTTTTCACCAGCTGCCCTGAACAGGAGTCAGCCCTCCTTATCACTGACGACAAGGACTTCTCTGTGCTGAGTGCTGGAACCATTCAGGTGAAACCCCACTTCCACATGCCAGGAGTCCCCAGCCTTTGTGGCTGCAGTGAGCCAAGTTAAGGAGGCTGCGTTTAGCCCAGAGTTGTATCCAGAGCTGTGGGTATGGGTGCTGATCTACCTTGGGCAGCACTTGCCGCTACCCAGAGGGGCTGCCAGAGGTAGGGCAGTAGGACAGAGGTGCCTTGGCAGTAATCACCCTAGAAAATCCAGTGCCCTTTGTCCCTGGGATTTCGTCGCCTTAAAGCCCCAATTGAAGGCAGTTCTGACATAGGACTGCCAATCCCATGAGACTGGGAAAATGAACCTGAGTTACTTAGCCACATTTTTGTCTTTTGGGGGGTGGGAGGGACGATATGTGAAAATATAACAAAATCCACACCCACAGTCAGTGGTCCCAACTTAAGAACCACTCCTTAGAAAGATGAGGTGTGTCTGCTCCCGTAAAGATGTACAGACTTGGAGACCCTCAGGAACGAATGGTTCGAGTGTCTCCTACAGAGTCACCGTGAACTGGACTGTGGACTGGATGGCAGTGGGTTGAGGGTTGCTTGTTTGTTTGTAGTCTGTAAGTCAGCATTGGACTGTTTCCACATAAGTTTCCTTTTGGAACAGCCGCACGGAGGACGTTCTCGACCCTCACTCCTGTAGATGAGATGTGGGGCTGCGCGCCTGATGGTCTGCCCAGCTCCGTTAAGGTGTCTTCTCTTCTTCCAGGAGGAGGAGGCATGGAAGAGCTGGCCGTCCCAACGTATCCTACGAAGACGCAAGAGAGAATGGGTGGCCCCGCCCATTTATGTCCCTGAGAATGGCAAGGGTCCCTTCCCCCAGAGGCTTTATCAGGTACGACTGTCCCTTCCTCCTGTTCATGGGTGGCTGTAGGGGCCTCTATCCAGAAGCCGAATGTGTGCTTTCTTACCACTCGGTTCGCAGAGGGAGCCCTTCCTGCGGTCGTGGGGACAGAGTCTGAAAAAGGCAACACAGAGGCTGCCACCACCACAGGCGGGCCCTTCCCTCCGATTATCAGACGTGTGTCCCTTTGTCAGTTGCCACTTTCTTTGGCTTCTAGCTCAAATCTAATAATGACAGAGGCACCAAGATTTTCTACAGCATCACAGGGCCTGGGGCCGACAGCCCGCCCGAAGGCGTCTTTACCATCGAGAAGGAGAATGGCTGGCTGTTGTTGAATAAGCCACTGGACCGCGAGAAGATCGCCAAGTACCAGGCAAGTGGCCTCTGTCAACCAGTGTAAACCAGGGGGACCGAAAGTGGGGGCCCGGGTGGGGTGTGGTTGGTTGACTGCAGCCCTGTGTGCCCCAGCTCTTTGGCCACGCTGTGTCCGAGAATGGTGCCTCTGTGGAGGAGCCCATGAACATCTCCATCGTCGTCACGGACCAGAATGACCATAAACCCAAGTTCACCCAGGAGGTCTTCAGAGGGAGCGTCTTGGAGGGGGCAATGCCAGGTAAGAGGATTGCGGAGAGGACAGTTGTGGATCCCGCTGGCCTGAGGT